TATAATAATCATAAGTTATATATATATTATTTATTTTACTTTTCGTATTAAACGAAATGTCAGACGTCTAATGTTTTTTATATTTATTTTTTTTTGATTATTATTTTTTTTTATTTGATTTTAATGCAGACATCACGTGCCAAACGATTTACAGTACTATATATATATAAATTTCAGATATTATATATACAGTATATTATACATATACAGTATATACTGTACATTATATAAAGTATAATAATCTTTGAACAAAACAAAAAACATATAAACAAAAAAATACAAATCAATGAATAGAAAGAGATTTCCTCTTTATTTATTTATTTATTTTTTTATTATTTATATCTAAAATAAAATCAAATCTAAAGAGATGTTTAACAACAACAACAAAAATATATACTGTATTTAATATATTTAATGATATAATGAATTAAAAGTTTAAAATAGCATTTTACTAATGTTTGTTTAAAAAAAAATAAAATAGTAAAATAAAGTAATAAAATTGACAACAAAACAATAATAATTGTCTATATATACTAAATGTCAATTTAATAATATTTATTCAGTATATATATATATATAATATTTTTACAATATTTATAATTACTATACCTATTGTAAAAAAATAATAATATGTGCACTAAAATATGAAAAAATAAAATAACATTTTATTCAAAAATTATAATATTAATTTTGAATTTTTATTAATGTATTTTGATTCCTGTTATTTATCTATTGCATAACAATTGTAAGGGTTTTTTTAAATTATAATATATATATACACTTTATATATACACAAAAATATATATATATAATATAATTTATTGTAAATTTATTTATTAACCACAGAATATACAGTATATATATATATATATATATTTTAATTGAAGTCATGCGCGACATACAGTCTGGTTATATGATAATCACGTTTATATAACATACAGTAGTATTATATTTTTGTATTATATTAATAGTAACTTAATAGTAGTAGTAGTACTGTATTATTATTATTATTATTATTATGTGTTCAAAAAAATATTATAATTTTGAGGGCAAAAGTCTGAGGACTTGTACAGTATGTGTAATATTAGCTAAAGGTAGCGATGAATATATTATATAATTATTATAAAATTATGTTTTTTTTATTATACTGTATATACAGGACATTACAATAGTAACCAAAAATAAATAATGATCTGACTTACTGTCTGTATGTCAACAATAAAATGGTAATTATTAGACTAACTGACATTTAATTGTGTAAATTGTTTTAATGTGTAAATTACTATTAACTTGAATCTCTCTCTCTCTCTCTCTCTCTCTCTCTCTCTCACTAAAATAGTTTTGTTTGCAATTAAAATATAATTAACAATTTTATTAATGTATATTTAACATACTGTATATATATATATATATATTCAGTATATTAGAAATATCAAAACTAATTATTAAATATTAAAATTAACTGAATTTAATAATATAATTTTAATGTATAAATAAATTCATAGTTTGTTTTGCTAATGAATAATATTAAATTGTAATCATAATAATCATAATAATAATAATAAACATATTTTTATAGTCAATATTTTTGCAAATAATTTAAAATTAATTTATTATTATTATAAAATACTTTTAAGAAAACAATAATTCAGATTTTATAAAATTAATTTTAAAATATATTATATTTTTATTATTTTTAAACTTTTATTATCAAATGTTTATATATTTAAATAAAACATTACACAAAAAATATATATTACTGTAACTTACAATTTAGTATTGCAATATTTTTTTTGATAATAAATTTGATAATAATAAAAACAACAATAAAATTATAGTTATAATCAGTTAATGACACGAGTTTTTTGTTGTTGTTTTTATAACAAAATGTTAATAAAAATACAGTAGTTTTATGGCATAAGTTTTAAAACATAACAACAACAAAAATTTACGATAAATAAACTTTTATAAAAAAAATTATATAAAGGATACAAAGTATTAAACTAATAATAATAATAATAATTTTTTAAAATTTAAAGCTAACTGTCAGCGCTATCATTAAATATTTACTGTACCAACAAATAATAATAATAAGTAAAACTTAAAAATTTCAGATTTAATTAGCAAATATATTTATTACATACACTGATATAAAAAAAATTTTTGAACATTAAACAGGTATTTTAAATATACATATATATATATAGATATAATTTAAATGATTTTCATACCAATGAGATTAGGCTTATTATTATTTGTGAATTATATATATATAACATATAGTTAATACCTTAAAATTATAATAAATTATTTGGGGAAAAAATGTATGATTAAAAAATACAGTATATATATACCTGTATATAAAATATTTATATATATATATATATATAAATCACAGGTGTCTAGTCTAGAGTTGTAATTATATCAGACATTTTTATTTTATTTGTTTGTTTGTTTGTTTGGTTTGGTTTGCTTTTTTGGGTAAATCCATTGAGTAGACCATCCATTGCCTGAAGAAGCTATGATTTTTTTTATGTGTGTGTGTGTGTGCAAAGAGTGAGTGTGTGAGTAACGACTGACTGGTCTAACTCTACCATTTTTTTGTAGATGCGAGACAAACCAATAGCTTTAGGATCAGGCATTAAAAATAGTAGGTCCAGACTATATGAAACAACAACAACAAAACAGAGAGAGAGAGAGAGAGAGAGAGAGAGAGAGAGAGAGAGAGAGAGATTCAGTGTCGGCAATTGATCTCAACTTTCAAATACACACACAAGTTATGGCAAGTATTGCATAAGTATTGTTAAGGCTATATGTGCCGATCACAGACAGGAATTACAGACACATATCCAGACACTGTATGTGTATGTATGTATGTGTGTGTGTGTATGTATGTGTGTGTGTGTGTGTGTGTGTGTGTGTGTATGTATGTGTGTGTGTGTGTGTGTGTGTGTGTGTGTGTGTGTGTGTGTGTGTGTGTGTGTGTGTGTTAAACTGATAATAATAACGTTAGTAATACTGTTAGTAATATTGTTAACAACAAAACGATAGACAAAAAAATGTCTTACATTTTTGATTATCAGTTGTAGAGGAATCGCAAAGAATATTCTGTGACTGAACTCTAATGACTTTTCATATATTCTGTTCGTGTATTCTGTACTGTAATATATAATGTGTTTTTTATTTTACTTATTTCAATTGATAATCATTTATAGTTACAAATTTTATTATTAATATAAAAAATTTGACTAGACTTTATAATTTATAATTTAAATTGTTTAATAGTTTATTGACCATTAAACAAGCTATTTGATGCTATTTTGCTTGTTTGTTATTGTTTAATTATTTTACTAAAAAATTAGATCTAGATTAGATTAGATTAATTTTTAATTAATAAAACAACAACAAAATCACTATTTATTATTATTATTTGCATTCATATTATAATTAATATAAAATTAATTAATATTTTTTGAATTTATTGCATTCAAATATATATATATATATATATATAAATTTAAGGGTAATGTACGGTATATACAAAAAAAAACTTATTATTAGACATTAGTATATACGGTATGTATATATCGATTATTTATTTGTTTGTTTTGTTATTTGTTGTGTTTGTTGTATATTTACATCCATGTGCTGCTCATGATTTGGACATCCATTACATAACACCAGAGAGTTTCGGTCAAAGAGTCTAGACTTTCAGAAAATACAAAACAGACAGTGAAAAGAAGAAAAAAAACTAAATATATTTACAAATAAATGAACTGTCGGTGCGATGAGCGCAGGAGTGTCTAATAAAATCCATACCTCTTATCTGTCTATTCATACAATACAATAGATTTAATAATAATTATTATATTTTATTATATTATTATTATTATTAAACAATGATTTTATATTATATAAGGTGTCTCTCAACTCTATTCTCTCTCTCTCTCTCTCTCTCTCTCTCTCTCTCTCTCTCTCTCTCTCTCTGTGTGTGTGTGTGTGTGTGTCTCACTAATTATAAATACAAATTTTAATACTAATAATAAATCTCTAATGTATTGCTAAATATTAAGAATAATTGTCAATAGAGTGCTGAGAAAGAGAGAGAGAGAGAGAGAGAGAGAGAGAGAGAAGAGAGAGAGAGAGAGAGAGAAGAGAGAGAGAGAGAGAGAAAGAGAGAGAGAGAGAGAGAGAGAAAGAGAGAGAGACGGTGGTAATGACATGACTGAGTGCTGAGTAAATAATAATAATAAAAAAAGACATCCAAAAGTGGTCGAGACATTGGATGTACTGTCTGACTGGGCGTCGGGTCAATAATCTAGACGTCGCACACACACACACACACACTGAGAGAGAGAGAGAGGGAGAGAGAGAGAGAGATAGGCATATAAACATTACTGTAACCCCAGTGCTCTTATTTTTATATAGCATGTGATTAGCATTAGTGCAATACTTTTATATACATAATATCATATACATGTCGATGATTACATAATATGCAATACAGTATATTATTTATAAGTATATTTGTATTTAAGTTAACTGTATATAAATATATACTATATATACTATATACTATATAACTGTATATTAATAGATTGCAGTTATTGACACACACTTTTTTTTAGAGTATAGAGTATACAAATTATAAATTAAATTATAAATTAAATAAATATTTTTCCAGACATTTAGATAAAATCAGCAAGTTAATTAATTAATTAATTATATTAATGCTAGACATTTTTTCTATTAGATGATTTGGTAAATAGTAAATAAAATTATTTATATTTTCAAATTATTACATATAATAACACTTTATTTATTTATTCTTATTAAATTTATAATAAATATTATCAATATTGCTAATGAATTATTTAATAAATAAATTAAATTTGGGTAATTAAAAAAAATCAAAAAATATATATATATATATTATACAAATATAAAAGATCTGAATTACATTTTTTAATAATAAATATTAACAATTAATTAATTTAATTAATAATTTAATTATCTAATGGATTATTTGACACCTGTTTTCGAGCCAAATAGAGAAACCCGATGGACGATAGGGCACTAACTAGGAATATAACGTCAAACCATCGATGATAGAATTGAAACTGAAGATCGCCTAACACTTCCGTTATGATTGTCCTGTACTCCAGTGGCATATTCATGCGGATCAGTACCACTGATGAGACAAAATACATGCCCATTATCTGTGCCAATGCCAACACTATTATGTTGGATGACTTGGACGATGATATGGCGTAGAAAAACTGGATTTTAAATTTAAAAAAAAAATATATATTTAATTAATAAAAGTTTAGGGAAATCATTAAATTAAATCAATAAAAAATAAATAAATATACTTTTGTAAGTGTTATGAGAAGACCTCTGATGGAAGTGATGACTATAATGCCGACCAAAATAAACGATATGTGTTGCGACCAAAACGGTACGTCCACTTCCAGACCAATATAATTGACAACAATCTGTAGGCCACGGGTGACCGGATCTACTTTGCCTACTCTATCGAAAACTATATTAACAGTGCACTGGAAATGATAATAATAATATTATTAAACATAAAAATATCACATTGGGATCTAAATTACATACAATAAATAGTTTCCAAATACAATAGAGACTAAAGAAATATCCGACAAAATTGAAATATTTTCCTTTTAGTGTCTTCGACCAAACAATTCGTTCTTCCATTGACTTCAGTTCAATCAGTTCCAGAAACATCTGTCGGGACAGTTCTTCCAATGTTTTGCATTCCTGTTTCAATTGGGAGACATCGTGTCCCTGAATCGATACGCTCTTCAACAGCGACCATATGGATGACGATGACGACGGCGATGCTAACGATTTGCTTTGGTTTTCTTTTTCAATCATTTTGATTCGCTTCTTCTTCATGGCTATGATGTCCAATGTTTGCAACAGTTTTCGTTCAGATGAACTAACATCCGAAGCGGTTACCACTTGCATAAAACAGGCCATCGATGTGTACGGATACATGACGGCACCGAAACCCGATAGCAGTGCCATCAGTGTTACGCCGATAACACCGACACGACTGATACCCTGTTCGATGGACAGTATGCCGTGTTTGGGACTCAGTATGGGAAACGGATCGCCAACTTTCCAGAATAGATACATAAATACCAGCCAAACGATGGCTGCCAGCGGTCTCTTCAGATGGGTTTTGATGAACGGTAGGTTCGATATGAATGAGTAGCCGATATTGAATGGTAGGACCACTATCAACATGAACAGCATGGCATAGATACCGATCTTCCAGTGCAGATAACGGGAACTATTTTTAAAAAAGACAATCAGAGAGAGAGAGAGAGAGAGAGAGAGAGAGAGAGAGAGAGAGAGAGAGAGAGAGAGAGAGAGAGAGAGAGAGAGAGAGAGAGAGAGAGAGAGAGAGAGAGAGAGAGAGAGACAATGTCAGTGAAGTTTTTTTAAAACATCAACAACAAGACACAAACCTGGTGTCCAAAATGCCGACAATTTCAAAGATGATCAGTTCAAACATTGAACACGACAGCGAAAATGTGACACAAAACTGGATTTGAACCAACAGGTTATGGATCTGTTAAGGAGATAATACAAGAGAGAGAGAGAGAGAGAGAGAGAGAGAGAGAGAGAGAGAGAGAGAGAGAGAGAGAGAGAGAGAGAGAGAGAGAGAGAGAGAGAGAGAGAGAGAGAGAGAGAGAGAGAGAGAGAGAGAGAGAGAGAGATAATAGATGACATCAAATGGATAGTTGACATCGGGTTTGTTGTGTGTCTGTGTGTCTTAACATCACACGATGTCATCAAATTCATGTTATATATATATATACCTCATAGTCGCGGAACAATTGCTTCACAAAGAATAGCCATCCGATGTAGAAGAAGAATATCTGTGAATTAAATATATGATAATTAAGACATAAATAATAATATTATATATAATAATCGGATCAAAAACAACTGTAGATGTGATTATTATGCCATCGGCGGCTACGGCGACGGCGGCGGACAATCAATACCTGTGTAATAAAGACAATCAATGTGTCCGACACTATGGCCGTCATATCGATTATTATCGGTTGGTATTTGGTCTCTGTTTTTGGTCGTAAATTGATTTTTTTAATTATAACTAAAATAACAACTAATTTTCAATTATAACAACAATAATGACAACACATTAGGTTATATATAGTAGTAGTTTAAGACATTTTTAACAAACAATTTAATGATATTTTAATAATAATTTAATTTTAAAAATTGATTTTATTTTTTGTTGTTGTAATAATAACATTGTTTATACAATAACTTTGAAAAAAATAAAAATTGTTGTCAAAAAAAAAATCATAAAAAACAATGACATCATCTCTAATATATATAAATAGCAGTTATTTTTACTTTGAATGTAATGGCAATACATTTTCACATACACTGTGTGTAGACAACGATAGAGAGAGAGAGAGAGAGAGCTAATACATGTAAAATGTTTTGTTTAGTTAGAGTATACGTTAATTAAACTTTTCTATTAAATATAAAAAACTTTTTTTTTTAATTAAATTTTTATTAAAATAATCATTTAATTAATATATAAATAAAAACAAAATTTTTATTTTATTATTATTAATAATATCATAATATTAAGTATTTGATTGCTGTTGTTGTTTAATATAATGAAATAAAAATTGTCAAAAAAATGATTTCTCTATTTTAAAAAAAATATATAAGAAAATTAGATGAAATAATTTGAAAAAAAATAAAATACTGTATATTGTATTGTATTTTCTTATTAATGACAATCTCATGATTTGATTTTTGTTTTGTTTGTTACACTAATATAATCACAATTAAAAACACGCTATCATTAATGCAATTTTGTTTTGTTTGTTTTTTTTTGGTACTCATAATCACATATCAATTATTATTATTAGTAGTAGTATTGTTGAGCAATAGCTGAACCTGTTGTCTAAGATTAGCCACTTCTTGTTCAAGGTATGCACTTCTTTCGTGTGTCTTATTCAATAAGTCGTCATTATTATCATCGACAACCGCACCACCGCTGACACCACTGCCGCCGATAGCTTGCCGTAGACTATCGTTAGTCTTATTATTATTAGTGACTTTATTCTTCATCCATGTCTTGCCTCTGATCTCTTCGAAACAGTACTCTTCGCCGCCGGCGTACAACTTATTCAGTTTGACGAAAAACTTTTTCATCGGATCCAACTTTTCGAATGGACCATCTGTTGGCAAACTGGATGATGACGATGGCATCAAACTCTGTTCAATCCGTGGTCTTAGTCTAAGGGCAAAGCTTTGCGGCGGCTTTTGTGATGACGATTGTGATGACGATTGTGATGATGAAGAAGATGACTGATAGACATCATTGTTGTTGTTGTGGTCGTCATCATCGCTGTCGTCATCGTCTTCATGTATACTAAATTTTAGTTCACTTATCTGTCTTGATGTTTGTTGTCTTCGTTGTCTCAATTGATTTTCACTCCATTTTCCCGGATTTTGTTCATTTTCTTGTCCAATATGTCCCATTAGTTTTATAGCCGACGCCGACGGCTGATGACCAATCGGCGACACAACAGCCATTGGTTTTTGTTGTTTGACGGCTACAGTCAATGGTTCATCATTTTCGTCGCAATAAATAGCTGTTGAACTAATCTTATTTGATTTATGAGATCCGACTGTTGTTGTTGTCTTGAGTCCATTAACCGACGATTTAATACAATTACCAATACGTTTAACTGGTGCCACAGTTTTTCCTTTAGTAACTTTGGTCTTCAAATTATTCAATGCTTGTCTTCGTAGTTGATCTTCGTCTTCGTTGTTGTTCTCATTCAATTCGTCCGCTTTGTTATTGAAGATAGCTTTGGCCACTCGTGTCTCCAATTCGTTCAATGCCCGCATCAGAGCACTGGTAGGTTCGGCATTGGCTGCCAAACCATCGCGTAAAACATCGGCCGCTTTGCGACAGTTCTTAGCATTTTCCAAATGAAAGCTCCAATTAATATAAAAATCGGCCAATTGTTTGGCAAAACCGGTCCCATGAAAGTAGCCGAACATTTCCAGCGGACTATCCATACGTTTGATAAACTTGAGGAAGACTTGAAGCAGTCGATGATCGTTACGGTATTGATCTGTATTGTAGAACAGTTCCATACATTTTTCTAACAGTGTCTTCATGTTGGCCTCATTACCGCCGAGCGGATAGTTTTGTTCAATCCATTGGATGTAATTATAATAGACTGATAGGAGATCTGTGCCATCGTATGTCCGCAATAAGGATTCAAACTCTCTGTATGAGAAATAAACAAAACGGATAAAATTAGGGATCAATTTCAAGTGATTATCTCATCGATGGTGTGATGGTATCCATACTTTCTTGTCGACTCTCTATCGGATAAATGGCTGGCATTTTGTGACAATACTTTGGTCAATGTGCCGATACTTCGGCCCGATTTAATTGGTTCAACATTTTCCTTAAACAGTTCCCACTCGACGGCAGCGGACATGTTGTCGATGGATGGGATCAACTCTCTGGTGATAATAGCTATGATATATATAGTGTGCTATTGTATTGAATTAATACTTTAGTTTAAAAAACTATTATTGCATTGATTTGTTGCAAACGTTTTTCAAATATAGCGATAACTTTAAACACTAAACATAACTCTGATTGGCTGTAAAAATGTCAACACATTTTGTTATATTAGTATTTTACAGACAATAATAACGCTATTATTAATATATGTATTAATTTTTTTTAATTGAAATTTTATTGTTTAATAAAGTAATATAAAAAAATTAATTGATTTTTATAAATTGTTTGTTTGTTTGTTGTTTTAATCAATCAATTGTTATAATAACTAATCTAAATATTTATTTATTTACCAATAAATTATTGTTATTTAATATTTGCCATTTAAATGACAACAACAAAAAAGTTTTATAACAACTTTATTAACAATACAATTACCCCTAAATATCGGTTATCAAAAAAAATAAAATAATACTTTTAATAATATTAATCAATGAAAAACATTTGTTTTTTTAATTTAAAAATACAAGTATATATTTAATGATAAATATAATGTTACAAAAAAAATCAAATTCAAATGCAATTAATTATTTTCAATTATTTTTTCATTATCATCGACACTACTATTATTGGTATTATTATTATTATTACTAATTTGTTTATCCAATTCATTACAATTATCTTTATTATCATTATTATCGTTACCACTAGTATTATCTTCATTAGAATTGTTTGCTTTTCTATTGGCTTTCCAGAACATACTTCTCGACACTTGTCGAAGACTATCTTCGACACTCTCTTCGGCTGACAATGTCTTACGGATCAATTCGTTAGCTTTTTGTTCCCTTTCATCGTACGTATGATACATCAATGTCTTCAGCCATTCAAACATTGACAACTCGTTCAGTTCTGTATCGACAATCACCGGATAGATGTGCTGATGTTTGAACTGATCGATAGTGTCTTTCATGGTTTCCCAACTAATCGATTCGTGAATACCGTCGCCGCCATACTTGTCGTTATATTTTTCATAATGAACTTCTTCGAGCAGTAGTCCCAAACCGGGAGCTTTCGGTATATCAATACGTTTGCTATCGAAAGCCCTTAAAATGGTATCTTTTGGTGTCAAACCTCTCATCACAGCTATGGCCAGTCCAATCATTTTGCGGATCTGATGCAACATAAACGACTGGCCCTTAACACGAATCACTACAAACTCCATCAACTGTTTCATCATAAACGGTTGGCTACAGTCCATCGACATTATATATCTCATAGCACTGGCATCCGTTGGGGCTTTACTTGACGTAAAATTATGATAGTTATGAGTTCCCAAATACATCGCTAAGATATCATTGAATTCTTGGAGTTTTTCGGCCGATAGCCGATAGGATTGTTGGGTAAGATCTTCAATATCGGTCAATGCAAATGTAGGCATCAGATAGCTATAGGTTCGGGCGTCGCAATAGTTTTTGGCGTCAAAAAATTTCGTAACCCGTATACTGTCCACTAAGCGTATCTGTTCGGGTAAATGTTCGTTGACTTCGGGTATACGGTCGCGGAAATTGGCCGGCAATTGTGCCGAACAAATCTGTTTGATAGCGCTGACACCTTTGTCCGTACGGGCGGCTCTCTGGAAGCGACACAAGTGTTGTTCATTGAACTTATCTTCGCCGATAATACCGGCCTTCAGTAGCGCATCAAATAGTCGGTATTCAATGGTCGGGAAATCGATGTCCGATCTATATTGTAATCAAAACAAACAAATTGTCAGTAAATCTAATGAAGTGATAACAGTCTTCTGCTTCTTCTAACAACAACAACTCATCACATACTTGATCTGTCTTTGCATACCATAGTATCGTTGACCGCAATAACTAAGAAGTAGAGCCCATTTGAGATTTTTCTCTCGCTTGAAATTTGGTCTCTGATTTACCGCCGATGATGTTGACTGAACTGTACGATCAATACCACCGCCGCCTTCGCCGCCATCGTTATCATCATCATTGCTAGTCTTCAGTCGTTTGGCAGCCGATGACTCATCTGATCTGTCATTACTGTCAACATTACTGGTGGCCATCAACTCGGGATCGACGACTAATCCATCAGTTTTTTGGACGACAGTGTTTTCAGCTGATAATTGTTCACTCATTTGATGACATAGACGACGACAACAACTGTTAAGACAATTATAACTAAAACTATAATTTCTGATCAAATGTTTGGCAATTGTTTTCATTCAGACAATTCAGAAATCAATTGTTTTGTTTGTTTTTAATTATAATTATAACTAAATTAAATGATATGATGTTATTGTTATGTATGTATAAACACAAACACATGCGATACACATGTAATACATGTATGATATATACCGTATATATATTAAGTGTAAATGTATTGACATCTATAGTGTGGACAACATATTATATAAAACACATAAAAAACTTTAAAGCTATAAATATATCCTAAACTTTATACATATGTTTGATATGGTTTTGGTTTAAAAAAGTGACCAAGGTGGCAATTTTGTTGGATAATTTTTAAACTAAATAAGATTGTAATTGGTCATTTTTTTTAAAAAAAATAATTAATTGCATGATTGGCCATATAATATAGAGTCGACTGTTTAAAAAAAAAAAAAAATTGTAAAAATGATAGTCGACTGCAATTATATGGCCAATCATGAAATTAATTTTTTTTTTAAATGACCAATTACAATCTTATCCAGTTTAAAATTATCTACAACATTGTCACCTTGGTCACTTTTAAGTCCAACGTATTGTTGACCAGATATTTGAAATTAAAAGCATCGCCGCTGTCGTCGTCGTCGGCGCCGCTGTTTAAGACTCTCTCGAAATATTTGAAACAAAATAATTAAAAAAAAAAAAAAAACAAATTAATTAAACGATGAAATGAAATGTTATTTTCATTAAAGACATCACATTTCAATTGGTTTTTCTTTTGTTTAATTGTTAACCCATTAAACTTATAGATAACCAAAACTTATTAAAATAAAAAAAAACTTATTTACCATTAGTTACTATTTAGTCACTAGTATTGATATTTAACTATTTATTTGAAAAATATATATTTATTAAGTTTACATTATAATAATAATAATCACAATTTTGAATCAATCAATAGTATATTTAATAATAATTTTTCAAATAAATTAATTGATAAAAAAATAAGTTTTCAATTGAATTCAAAGACGAAACGAAAATTTCAATTGATTTTCTTTCTGTCTATTTTATTGGTGACCAAACTTATTGTTGGCCATCACTACTGGTCGTCGTCATCGGCGGGCTTTACGGCTGTCGAACCAAACAGTGAGACATAACATGATTACGACAAATGGATTTGTATTTGAAATATTTGTTGCAAATGTCACACTTGAACGGCCCATTCGCTGATAAGTGTTGTTCAATATGTTGACTAAATTGTGGCACATCTTTGATATAATTCATTTGTGAACATAATTGACACGAATAGAGCTTTTCGGTGTCGGATGTGTTGTTGTTGGCCGATGAAGACGACGTCGATGGTTGGCTATTGTCGCCACTAATCAAACTGCTGGGGGTATTGTCGCCACTAACCGAACTGCTCGGACCAGCCATAGGCCAGTAGTTTTGAGTCTTCTCTACTGGTCCGGTGCCGTTCGTAGCCATCGGCGGTGGCGTGAAATAGTTGGGCACTACCGACGGCGCCATAATTGGTGTCTGGAATTCAATACAGTTGTTATTCTTGTTATCGTTTTTCTTTGTCGGAGAGTATGCCCACCAATACAATTGGTTTAATTGTTCGGCTGAATAACCATTGGTAACCATCTCTTCATTAGTTGCCGACGATGTTATCTCTTCATTGGTCGCCGCCGTCAACGACGTCATCTCATCTTTACTGACCAGCGAATCGATTGGCAAAACTGGCACTTCTTGTGATGTCTGTTCTCCTTCTTCTTCTACATTTTCTTCTTCTAAGTATTCATTTTCATCGATCTTCACTTCATTAGCCGCCGACGACGTTATCTCTTCATTGGTCGCCGCAGTCGACGACGTCATCTCTTCTTTACTGACCGGCGAATCGATTGGCAAAACTTGCACTTCTTGTGATGTCTGATCTCCTTCTTCTTCTTCTTCTTCATAGTCATTATCGATCATCACTTCTTTATCGCTCATTGTATTGATCCTTGTCTTCAAAACTTTGTTATTGTGTTAGAAGAGAGAGAGAGAGGACAAAAAATACAAATTTTGCTATCAATTGATTGATTGATTTTTTGATTACTATTAATAGTTAATTAATTGACAGTTTAATTGAAAATTTAGTGATTGTGTTAAATAGAAAAATAATTATAAATTTGAATTTAAAAAAATAATTTTTTTTTTATTATATAACAGCAAATGTCGCGCGTTTCAATTTAACTGTCAATTTAGTTATTACTGTAATTAATTTCCCCACTAATAGTAGTAGTAATTTATAACTTTTATATACTATAACAAAATTTATTGCAAAAAAAGTCAATCAATTAATTGATTTCTATCTTTGATTTTGATTCTAATAAAGTATTTCTATAACAACTCAAAGACAAAGATAAAGACAACTAATGATAAAGAAGTGATGATCGATGAAAATGATTACTCAGAAGAAGAAGTAGAGGAAGTAGAAGATGGAGATCAGACATCACAAGAAGTGCCAAAACTGCCAATCGATTCGCTGGTCAGTAAAGATGAGATGACATCATCGTTGACGTCGTCGGCTATCAATGAAGAGCTTGCGTTGTCTTCGGCCAATCAATTGCCGACCAATGGTTATTCCGGAGAACAACTGAACCAAATGTATTGGTTTGGTCACCAATAAAACAGAAACAAAGAAAATCAATTGAAATTTTCTTTTCGTCTATGAATTCAATGAAAACTTATTTTTATCAATTAATTTATTTGAAAAATTACTATTAAGTATATTATTGATTGATTCAAAATTGTAACTAATATTATAATGTAAACTCAATAAATATATTTTTCAAATAAATAGATAAATATCAATACTAATGACTAAATAGTAACTAATGGTAAATAAGTTTTTATTTTAATAAGTTTTGGTTAAGTTTTTTTTAGTTAAAAACTAATTTCATAATCAATTTGAATGTGTTTTTATTGTTTTGTGTAACTATTTATGTGACTAAATAGTAACTAATGATAAGTTTTTATTATAATAAGTTTTGATTAAGTTTTTTTTAGGTATTATTTGATATTCAATGTTGTTGATGATGATGATAAAATTTTAGCATGTACATTTACTATACAGTATATACACAATTAGTTATACTGAACCATAAAAACACATACAATTGATTATATAATTAGTTTATACCTAAAAAAAACTTAATCAACCATTAGTTACTATGTATTATTCACTAGTATTTAAATATTTTTTAGAAAAATAAATTTATTGATTTTACATAATAATAATTACAATTTTGAATCAATCAATAGTATACTTAAGGTAATAATAATAATAATATATTTTTCAAATGAATTAAGTGATAAAATAAGTTTTCATTGAATTCAAAGACGAAACGATAATTTCAATTGATTTTATTTCTCTCTGTTTTTATTGGTGACCAAACTTATTGCTGGCCACCACTGGTCGTAGTCGTAGGCTTTCGATGTGGAACTACTATTGTTAGCCGAAAAACTTGGCGCCAAAATCGGCGAAATTGCTGTCAAATGGACGGAAATTGACGGTTCAAAAGTTGTACCGTTTTGGTGGTCGTGGTTTCAAATGGGCAAAGATGTGGCCATTATTTTATTGAAATATACGATCGGCGCCTGTAGTCTACCAATTGGTGATAATAATAATACTATTAATAATAAGCAAAACTAGTTGTTAAAGAAAAAACAATTTGAATCTATGATATTATTTTTTTAATTAATTAATTAATTAAATTAGTATTTATAATATATATATATAACTTATTTTCTATATTATATATATATAGTATTTAACTTTATCATAACTATACTTTTTTTAATATATAAAATATATTTATTGAGTTTATTGATTTTATATATATATTTAGATAATAAATACAATTTTTTGAATCAATCAATTTATAGACAATTTCATAAATATTTGAAGCAAACAAACAAAACAAAAAAAAATGATAAATAATTTAAGTAATGAAATGACATCTTCATTAAAAATATCACATTTCAATTGATTTTCTTTCTTTTTTTTTGGTGACCAAACTTATTGTTGGCCACCACTACTGGTCGTCGGCGAACTATTCGGTCGAACCACACAGTGGGCCATAACATGATTACGGCAAATGGATTTGTATGCAAATGGTTTGTCGCAAATGTCACACTTGAACGGCCGTTTGGATCCCAAATGTTGTTCAATATGCAGACGAAAGTGTACGACATCTTTGATATAATTCATATGCGAACACAAACGACACGAATAGAGCTTTGTTTTCGATGGTTTGGTGTCGTCACCGGTTTTGGCCGACAATGATGTCGATGGTTGGCCACAATTGTCGCCGCTGACCGAAGTGCTCGGACCAGCCATTGGCCAGTAGTTTTGAGGCCAACCGACAGAACCGGCGCCGCCCCTGCCGCTCATAGCCAAATAATAGTTATGCATCATATATGGCGGCATTTGAGATGAGATGGGAGCATGAGATGGCATCTGAACACAACCGGTTGGTTGCGGCGCCATTTGAAGATTACCGGTCGTCGGCGTTGTCGTCATCGGTGGCTGGAATTGACTGCCGTTGTTATCGTTTGTCTGTTGCTGATACAGTGGCCACCAATACATTTGGTTCAGTTGTTCGCCGTAATACCCATTGGTCGGCAATTGATTGGCCGAAAACAAAGCAATCTCTTCATTGACAGCCGACGACGTCGACGATGACGTCATCTTTTCTTTACTGACCAGCGAATCGATTGGCAATTTTGCCACTTCTTGTGATGTTTGATCTCCTTCTTCTCCTTCTTCTCCTTCTTCTTCTTCTTCTTCTTCTTCTGAGTAATCATTTTCATCGATCATCACTTCTTTATCATTAGTTGTCTTCATCTTTGTCTTGTAGTTGTTATAGAAATACTTTATTAGAATCAAAATCAAAGAAAGAAATCAAATTTATTATCAATTAATTGATTGATTTTTTTTTGCAACAAAAATAGATATATTTTTTAGTTATAAATTACTACTACTACTAATAGTGGGGAAATTAATTACAGTAATAACCAGGGTTGGAAAAATACAAGGTTTTCAATTTTGGCTTTGTAAAATACAGTAAAATACAATGTACTGGATGTATTTTACAATTATAAAAAAATTACATTAACTATGATAAAATATTCATTTTTTTAATTAAAATTATTATTATTACATAATTTCAATATCGTTAATTAGAATCGTTGTTTTCTAAAACTATTAAAAATTAATATTAATTATTTTATTAATATATTTCAATACTAGAATTAAATTGAATAGCTAATTTCATATTTTATCAAAATATAAAAATAATTATTATTACAAAACATGTGTTTATTTGTGAATTTTAGTATTTTTGTTACTAGGTGGCGCTAAATAAATTTTGTAAGCCAAAATTGTCATGTAATTTACATTGTATTATACTGTATAATACGCTTTGTATTATACATGCACTTTGTCTTTGCCAACACTGGTAATAACTAATTAACTGTTTGATTGAAAATTTAGTGATTTTGTTAACTGAAAAATATTTTAAATATATATATATAAAAAAAAGTTTTATTATAGCAAATGTCGCGCGCAATACAACTATTGAAATCAAATAAATTAAATGAAATCAATTGAAGTGTTTTGAAATAAATATAATTAATTAATTAATTAAATTGAAATCTATTTGTGGGTCAAAAAATACATTAATATTAAAAAATAGCATATATTTAAAAAGTTAGATATTTAATGTTGTTGTTGTTGATGATGATGATAATAATAAAATTTCATCATGTACATTTAATAAAACATATAATTAGTTACACTTAGCCATAAAAACACATTAAAATTGATTATGAAATTAATTTAAATCCACAAAATAAAACTTATTAAAAATAAAAATATAAACTTATATACCATTAGTTACTATTTAGTCACTAGTATTGATATTTAACTATTTATTTGAAAAATATATTTATTGAGTTTAGATTATAATAATAATTACAATTTTGAATCAATCAATAATATACTTAATAATAATTTTTCTAATAAATTAATTGATAAAAATAAGTTTTCATAGAATTAAAAGACAACAAAAATTTCAATTGAATTAAAAACAACAAAAATTCTAATTGTATTAAAGCAACAAAAATTTCAAGTGATTTTCTTTCTGTCTTTTTTATTGGTGACCAAAACTTATTGTTGGCCACCACTACTGGTCGTCGACGTCGGCGGGCTTTTCAACTACACAATGAGCCATAACATGGTTACGACAAATGGATTTATATGTAAATAATTTGTCGCAGATTTCACAAATGAACGGCCGATTCGGTGACAAATGTTGTTCAATATGTTGACGAAATTGTGGCACATCTTTGATATAATTCATTTGCGAACATAAAAGACACGAATAGAACTTTTCGGTCTTAGCCGATGATGGTTTAGCCGCTGAAGTCGATGTCGATGGTTGGCCACTATTGTCGTCAGTATTGTCGTCAATATTGTCGTCAGTATTGTCGTCACTATAGTCGTCACTATAGTCGCCACTAACCGAACTGCTCGGACCAGCCATAGGCAAGTAGTTTTGAGACCAATCTTCTGGTCCGGTGCCGTTCGTTGCCATCATCGAGAAGTAGTTAAGCATCAGATGGGGCGGTATTTGATAGTTACCGGTCGGGGCTGGCATTAGATGTCTACTGGTTGGCTGCGACGGCATTTGATATCTGGCGAAAGATAACGTTGAAAGATAACCGCCATTTGTCGACAATTGATTGGCCGAAGACAACGCAATCTTTTCATTAGACGCATTCGGCTGCGGCGGCATTAGGACACAACCCGTTGGTTGCGGCGCCATCTGAAGATTACCGGTCGGCGGCGGTGTCGTTATCGGTGACTGGAATTGATTGCCATTGTTGTCGTTTGTCTGTTGCTGATACAGTGGCCGCCAATACATTTGGTTCGATTGTTCGCCGGAATACCCATTGGTCGGCAATTGATTGGTCGAAGACAACGCAATCTCTTCATTGGTCGCCGCCGTCGACGAAGTCATCTCTTCTTTACTGACCAGCGAATCGATTGGCAAAACTGTCACTTCTTGTGATGTCTTTTCTCCATTTTCTCCTTCTTCTTCTTCTTCATAGTCATTATCGATCATCACTTCTTTATCGCTCATTATATGGATCCCTGTCTTCAAAACTTTGTTATTGTGTCAGAAGAGAGAGAGAGAGAGAAAAAAAACAAATTTTGCTATCAATTGATTGATTGATTTTTTTGTGGATTGCTATTAATAGTTAATTAATTGACAGTTTAATTGAAAATTTAGTGATTGTGTTAAATAGAAAAATAATTATAAATTTGAATTTAAAAAAATGTTTTTTTTTTATTATATAACAGCAAATGTCGCGCTCAATACAACTGTACAACAATTGAATCTAATGTAAGTCATGTGCAAAAAAAAATAATTTTTTTTAATTCAAATTTCAAATAATTATTTTTCTATTTTACTCAATCACTAAATTTTCAATTAAACTGGCAATTAATTAACTATTAATAGCAATCCACAAAAAAATCAATCAATCAATTGATAGCAAAATTTGTTTTTTTTCTCTCTCTCTCTCTCTTTTCTAACACAACAACAAAGTTTCGAAGACAAGGATCCATACAATGAGCGATAAAGAAGTGATGATCGATAATGACTACTCTGAAGAAGAAGAAGAAGGAGATCAGACATCACAAGAAGTGACAGTTTTGCCAATCGATTCGCTGGTCAGTAAAGAAGAGATGACGTCGTCGACGGCGGCGACCAATGAAGAGATAACATCGTCAGCGGCTAATGAAGAGATTGCGTTGTCTTCGGCCAATCAATTGTCGACCAATGGTTATTCAGCCGAACAATTGATTCACATGTATTGGTGGCCATACTATCAGCAACAGACAAGCAATAGCAACGACAATGGTATTCAAATCCAGCCATCGATGTCGGAGCCGCCGCTAACCGGTAGTCTTCAAATGCCATCGCAGCCAACCGGTAGTCTTCAAATGCCATCGCCGAATGGCAACTATCAAATGCCGCCATATATGATGCCCTACTATTAATATTTTATGCCAATGGCAACGAACGGCACCGGCCCAGTCGGTTGGCCTCAAAACTGCTGGCCTATGGCTGGTCAGAGCAGTTCGGTTAGTGGCGACAATTGTGGCCAACCATCGACATCGTCTTCATCGGCCAACAACAACACATCGGACACCGAAAAGCTCTATTCGTGTCAATTATGTTCGCAAATGAATTATATCAAAGATGTGCCACAATTTCGTCAACATATTGAACAACATTTGGGATCCAAACGGCCGTTCAAGTGTGACATTTGCAACAAATATTTCAGATATAAATCCATTTGTCGTAACCATGTTATGGCTCACTGTTTGGTTCGACAGCCGAAAAGCCCGCCGACGACGACCAGTAGTGATGGCCAACAATAAGTTTGGTCACCAATAAAACAAAAAGAAAGAAAATCAATTGAAATTTTCGTTTCGTCTTTGAATTCAATTGAAGACTTATTTTTTTATCAATTAATTTATTTGAAAAATTATTATTAAATATACTATTGATTGATTCAAAATTGTAATTATTATTATTATTAGATAAACTCAATAAATATATTTTTCAAATAAATATTTTGAATACTAGTGACTAAATACTGTAGTAACTAATGGTTAATAAGTTTTGGTTAAGTTTTTTTTATTGGTATAAATTAATTTCAATTTCTATGTGTTTTTATGGCTCAGTGTAACTAATTATATGTTTTATTAAATGTACATGATGAAATTTTATTATCATCAACAAAAACATTAAATATCTAACTTTTTAAATATATGCTATTTTTTCATTATTAATGTATTTTATTTTGATCCCTAAATAGATAACAATTTAATTAATTAATTTTATTCATTCATTTAGTGATACAATAATAGTATAGTAAAAAAAATCTCTTCAATTGATTTAATTTTAATTTATTTATTGATTGAATAGTTGTATTGCGCGCAACATTTGCTATAATAAAACTTTTTTTTATATATATTTAAAATATTTTTCAGTTAACAAAATCACTAACTTTTCAATCAAACAGTTAATTAGTTATTACTGTAATTAATTTCCCCACTAATAGTAGTAGTAATTCATAACTGAAAAAATATTTATTTATTTTGCAAAAAAAATCAATCAATTAATTGATAATAAATTTGATTTCTTTCTTTGATTTTGATTCTAATAAAGTATTTCTATAACAACTAAAAGACAAAGATGAAGACAACTAATGATAAAGAAGTGATGATCGATGAAAATGATTACTCAGAAGAAGAAGAGAAAGTAGAAGAAGAAGAAGGAGATCAGACATCACAAGAAGTGGCAGAATTGCCAATCGATTCGCTGGTCAGTAAAGAAGAGATGACGTCATCGTCGACGTCGTCGGCTGTCAATGAAGAGATTGCGTTGTCTTCGGCCAATCAATTGCCGACCAATGGATATTCCGGCGAACAATTGAACCAAATGTATTGGTGGCCATACAATCAGCAACAGACAAACGACAACAACGGCAGTCAATTCCAGCCACCGATGACGACACCGCCCCCGACGGGTAGTCTTCAAATGGCGCCGCAACCAACCGGTTGTGTCCAAATGCCGCCGCAGCCGAACGGCAGCTCATCTCAAATGCCGCCATATATGATGCCCTACTATTTCATGCCACCGCCAATGGCTATGAGCGGCGGCGGCAGCGCCGGTCCTGTCGGTTGGCCTCAAAACTACTGGCCAATGGCTGGTCCGAGCACTTCGGTCAGCGGCGACAATAGTGGCCAACCATCGACATCGTCGGCCAAAACCAAATCATCCGACACTCTAAAGCTCTATTCGTGTCGTTTGTGTTCGCATATGAATTATATCAAAGACGTCGGACACTTTCGTCTGCATATTGAACAACATTTGGGATCCAATCGGCCGTTCAAATGTGACATTTGCGACAAACCATTTGCATACAAATCCATTTGCCGTAATCACGTTATGGCTCATTGTGTGGTTCGGCCGAATAGCCCGCCGACGACGACCAATAGTGGTGGCCAACAATAAGTTTGGTCACCAAAAAAAAAGAAAGAAAACCAATTGAAATCTGATGTCTGAATATGTCATTTCATTACTTAAATTATTTATCATTTTTTGTTTAGTTTTGTTTGTTTGCTTCAAATATTTATGAATTTGTCTATAAATTGATTGATTCAAAAAATTGTATTTATTATCTAAATTTATATATATATATATATATATATAATTAATAAACTCAATAAATATATTTTATATATTTAAAAAAAAGTATAGTTATGATAAAGTTATATACTATATATATAATATAGAAAATAAAAGTTATATATATATATATATTATTATTATAAATACTAATTTAATTAAATAATTAATTAATTAAAAAAATAATATCATAGATTCAAATTGTTTTTTTTCTTTAACAACTATTTTTGCTTATTATTGATAGTATTATTATCACCGATCGGTAGACTACAGGCGCCGATCGTATATTTCAAGGAAATAATGGCCACATCTTTGCCCATTTGAAGCCACGACCAAAACGGTACAACTTTTGAACCGTCAATTTCCGTCCATTTGACAGCAATTTCGCCGATTTTGGCGCCAAGTTTTTCGGCTAACAACAGTAGTTCCACATCGAAAGCCCATTTTTCGCAATGAATATGCGTAAACAATTGGCGGGCAATACGGCGGCCAAACAATTTGAATCCGCATTGTGTGTCCCGAACACTGCGTACGGCCAGAAGCCAGACACCCAAATGAAAACCATACATCAGAATTGTACGAAACAGCGAACGAGTGGCCACTGCATCAGATTGGAGATGAGCTCGGGAACCGATAGCTATCACTGGTCGACCATTACTACCACCAGATTCTCGACTACTATTGGCTAACATAAATGACTCGAGTTTTTCGTAATCGGGAAAATAAGTGGCACCGTCGGCGTCGGCAAACAACAGCTGATGACCTCTGGCCGATAACATACCCAATCGTACGGCACCGCCTTTGCCCCGATTGGTCTCCAGTGTCAACACCCGTATCTTATCCGAGCCGTACGTCTTGACATAACCCAGGGCTACGTCTGTGGTCTGATCAGTGCTGCCGTCGTCGACAACGATTATCTCGTAGGTAAAGACATCGACGTCAACGCCGTCGTCACTGGACTTTTGTTGCCGTCGACGCCGACGACTACATCTCGATTCCAGATAATCGATGGCCTCGTCCAACATCTTCGGCAAGCGTTCCGATTCGTTAAACGCCGGAACTATTACTGACAGATAAACAGATGGCTGATCGCCGCCGACGTCGTCGTCGACATCGGTGTCCACTAGTGACGGAAAGCGACGTCTTTCGCCCGACTGGACGTCCAAATAGTATTTTTCGCTATCTTTGCGTACAATCACTGGTTTCGGTTGCGTTGTTAACCTCAGGATCAAACTGGCGATCGTAACCACTATTATGATGACTGCGATAACCGATAGACATAGTTGACTGATGACATCGCAACAGATATGCATCGTTAGTGTTGTTATTATTATGGATACTATTATAGATGTGATAATGAAGTGTCAATCGGTGGTCAATAATAATAATAATAATAATATTTTTGGTTACATATTGTTTATAACTTTTTATTATATAATATAATAATTACTGTATTTTTTTTATATATCTATTTAATGTTTATGTGTTTAAACATTATGTTATTATTTATTTATTATTATTGTATTGAATATATGACACGTGTATTGTATGGCAATGTATAATAATAACGTCAAAACACATATACTGTTAAAAAAAAGTTTATACAATATTTTAAGTATATTATATTATAATAGTAAAGTGATAATAATTTAATAAATACATTAAATTGTAAAAATTATTTTATTTAATAAATATATTAAGTTAAATAAAATTTATTTAAATTAATTATTATCTTTTGGGTGATTGTAATGTTTTTTTTATTATAAAAATATTTATAACATTTATTGTTAAACATTTGATTTTATTATAAATTATAATAATTTATATAACTTTTTTTTGTGATTTATTTAAATATTGAATTTTATAAAAGTATAATAATATTTGGATAAATATTTTTTAATAAAAAGTTATTGTATAATATTTAATTAAAAATCATGTTTTTAATATTTTGTTTAGATAATAATTAAATAGATATATTGTGTGTAATAATAATATTTTGCCATAAGTTTTATTTATAGTTATTTTGTAATTTTGAAATTTTTATATATAAAATTATTTATTATATTACAAATATTTTTTTTAATAAAATATTTAACAAAAAATAAAATTACTATAAAATTTCAAACATTTGTACACACATTTAGATACAACTAAACTATATATAAAATTATATAGTTATGCTATAAATAGCTAATTTCAAAAAATAATTTTTGTTTTATTTATTTAATTTCATATTTCATATATGAATCATATTATATGAAATAATATTTATTTTTATTTGTCTATTATATGAATCAAAAGAGTTCTCTACTTATGTTTAACTTTTTTTTGTTGATTTAGTATTTGATTTATTTATTATTATTATTATTATTATTATAAAAGATATATCATATATTTAATTCAATTTTATTAGATTATGACCTTTAAAAAGTTAAATTAATTTAGTTGCTATTAATCAAAAAATCTTATCAAATAAATACAGTATATATATAAATACAGTATATAAATAAATATATATATATAGTATATTATATTATATACAGTATTTAACTTAATACAGTAGTTTCGTAATTATTTTAATTATTATTTTATTATATCATAATCATATTTCAGGTTTAATTGGTAATGTTTTTATTTTTTTTAAATAAAACAATATATTATACAATTTATAACAAAAAACTTAATTTTATTTATTATTTAATTTCATTTAAGATAATTTATACAAATAACATATAATTTTTTTTATATATATCAAATGTCAAAAAAAATTAAAAATTATAATAATCATACAAATATAATAATAATAATAATAATTAATGATATATATATTTCTGATTATTATTATTTAATTTTATTATTTTTAAAAAATTATATATAATCTTTATTTATTTATATAAACAAATATTTATTTATTTTTAATAAAAATCCAATTAATTTATAATATTACTAATTTCATCAAATAGTATTCAATATATAGTATACAATTTGAAGGTCGGCTTTTAGTATGACACGTTTTGTTTGATTTAATTAACCATTTAATGGGAAATTTTAACATTATTTACAAAAATATATATTACGTATATATATATATTTGAAACCAAATTATAGAAATATGAGAATTTAAAAAACAAAAACAAATTAGCAATTAATTTATTAATTGTCATAATATATATATATTTATATAAATTGTTTATAAATGAAACAAACAAAAAAATTTCTTGAAATTATTTCAAAAATTTTATTTCATTTAATTATGGAAATAATTATCAATATAATAATAATCAAAATTTATTAGACATTAAGAGACAAAATTATTTGTTTGTTTGACTCAATTGAAAGACAAATATAAGGGTTAATTCAAAGTTCAATAAACAAACCAAAAAAAATTATATATATATATATAATCTAGCAATTAAATAGCCTTGTTCAATTTTTATTATAACAACCTATCCTATCTATAGATTTATTTATTTATTTATTATTGATAATAATAATAATAATAATAATTAAAGTGTTTATTATTCGCTCAAATTTTGGTATATTATTATTATCATCATTTTGATATCGTAATCATATAAAATTATAACAAACAAACACACATAAAAAAATAATAATAACTAACTAAATGTTAATCAAATCAAATATTAGTTTTTTTTATAGTTTATTTAAAGAGAGAGAGAGAGAGAGAGAGAGAGAGAGAGAGAGAGAGAAAGAGAGAGAGAGAGAGAGAAATATTATAAGATATGACTTATCATATCATTTGTGTGTTAGATAGAGGTAGAGCCGGAACTGACAGTTCAGATAACTTATACAGAAAACTAAAACCTAAATTAATTATAATTTAACTTCAATTACATTACACACATATATAAACCCTAACTTGATATTTGATTTTTTTTTATTGTTGCGATTATTATTATTATTATTCATTTAATTAATTATTAAGACAAATATACCTTATTTTGTATTAGCAAAGATGCTGTAATATAGTAATAATAATAATAATAATATAAAAATTTATTGATATTACAAGTAATGTGATATTAAGCAGAAAAAATAACTAAAATATAACATAATATATATAAATTAGATTTTCTATAAAGTGTTTGGTTGGCTGTAAAGGTAGTGATGATTGAATTAATATACTTTACTATACTATTCAATATAACTTAATATAATAAGACAATCATAAAAACACTTGTATTTGTTATATTAAACCGGAGAGAGAGAGAGAGAGAGAGAGAGAGAGAGAGAGAGAGAGAGAGAGAGAGAGGAGTAGTAGTAGTAGTAGTAATGATAAAATATTTCAATCAAAACAAATGGTTATATAACCTAATAATTATTATTAATTCAAATGAAACAAAAATATAATTTTTTTTCCTCCTAATTACATGGTATTTGATAAAATATTTAAGTTATTACACACACATATATATATATAGGAAAAAAATGTGTTATAATTTTATGGTTGTAGTTGTTGTGGTGTGGATGAAATAATAGCTAAAAATTCAATGGTTAAAGTCAAGGATAAAAAACATGTACAGTATATATATATATACATTGATATATCAATTATATAAACATTTTTGTTTTGCAACAACCAAAAAAAATAAAATAACGGAATTAATTAAATATTTATATTTAAAAAAAAAAATGAAAATTTATATCCCGTTCCTGTCAGTTGAAGTTTTAGGGACTTATATATATAGATATATATCATATGTGTGTAAATATGTTATTTTGGTATTAAAAGTGCGGAAATACAGTATATATTTTAGTTTTCATTTATATATATATAATAAAAAACTTATGTTTTTGTCGTCAAATTTATTTTTTTTTAATAAAAAGCCGTTAATGGGGTATTAATATTAATAATAATAATATAGAAAATAACATAACATATTATTATTATGTTATAAAACTATTTTATGTTTTTTTTTTGTTTTGTTTCAACACATAAAACTTATTAGATATTAGTTGTCAAATATATATATATATAATTTTGTACATTTGAGCCATTAATAGTTATTATTAATATTATTATCAAAATAATAAACTAAACAATAAAATCATAAAATTATTTTTAAAAAAAACCGAAAAAATTATAGTTTACTTATTTAATTTTTAAAAACACTTGAATTTTTTTTTGTAACAAACAATTATCATAATAATAATAAGCAAATTAACACAATATATGAATAAATAATTTCAAAATTATTTAGATGAGAAAATTATATTTTTAAAAAAAAAAATGTTTATAATAAAAATAATAATTAATTACAAAAAATTAATAATAATAATAATTAATAGCAAAGACTAGACACATAAAAAATAATAATAATAATTAAAACAATAGAGATATGATATTTGATTTGCAAATTAAAAAAAAATTGCAAAACATGTTAATAACAATTTAGTAGAGAATTTAATTTTAAATTTTAATTAATTATATAAAAAATTTGATGAAAAAAAGTTTGGTGTTTTGTTTGTTGGTTTGTTGTAACACATAATAATAATAATAATAGTTATAAAGAAGTTATTAATTAATTAATAATAGTTTTTAATTAATTATGAAATTTATTATCACAACATATACAGTATATACGGGAGACAACTATATATCTAACTGTCCACTGATTGTGTTGTTAATTGTTGTCGAGATATTGTTGTTGTTTTTGAAATTGTTTTTTAAGGCACTTTATATTATTAATGATAAATGATAATTATATAACAAAAATTAATGCAATATTATTTCATTCAATTATAATATTGCATATAATTATTTTATAGTTTAGAAAAAATACTAATAGTAGTTAATTAAATCAAATAACTATATATATATATTTATAACTTATTGCCAACTAATAATTAATTAATTAATTATATATGTATATAACTTTATATTTATATATTTATACTTAATATGTCAAAAATATACAGAATATATATATTTAACTGTATTTATAATATATATATATTATACCAATATATATGTATGTATGTATTGTAACTTATAATACACAAAACATATATATATGCAAAAAATAATTAATAAAATAATAGTTATATAAAAATAATAATTATTATATATTTATATTATAAATATTCAGAATAATTGAACCAAATTTTTTGTTTGTTTGTTTGTTAATCGCACAGTTAGGTTAGCTCATCAATCAATCAATCAATCAATTCAGTCATATTTTTTTTTGTTTGTTTATTGTAACACAGATATCGATTTAGATGACGGACTGAACAACAATTGTGGATCAAATGGCGAATAAGGCGGACCAGCAAACAGTGGCGACAGTGATAGTCCGAAATTGGTTGGCGTCGCCGGATTGGCGCCGGGATGTCCCACTGGAAACTGGAAATGTGTGCCATTCGGGTTGTATCGGGGACTTAGCATCAGCGGACTTAATGAGTTCCAGAAACTGAAGGCATTCGGCAACATTGCCGCCGGTGTAGCCTTGCCTAAGAAAGGACTGGCAAACGTTACTATCGGTGTCTGAAGTGATTGTGCGAACGCGTGACTGAATCGGGTTGGACTCATGGGTAGGCCGATAATTGGCGGCGGTTTAGGCTTGAATTTGGTCATCGATTTTGCTTTCGAACCGCCATTACTGCCGCTATTGGACGACAGGTTAACTGGCGAACAGCCGTGCGATGAGGTCGAGCTTTCGGCCGACGCCGGCGACGATGTTGTCGAACGATTCGATGGCGACGGAGATCGCGACGATGGCCGCGACAGCGGTCGCAACGGTTTTAGTCGTTTGTGAATCGGATTGGTGTTGCCGTTGGCGCTGCTGACCACTGATGTCGAGTCGCTGTCCGATACACCGGTTTCCGAGCACAGAGACTCCGAATCGTTTTCTAAACATCTTTTCTTATTATTATTATTGATATTTGTTTTATGATTAATACTACAATTAATTATATCGTTATTATTATTATTATTATTATTGGAACTGCTTTTACAGGACAGGTCTGTCGGTTCCATAGATGACGACAGTATATGCTGTTGCTGTGCGTTAGACTGATGATGATTGTGTTGTTGTTGTTGTTGTTGATGAAGATGCTGCTGCTGCTGCTGATGGTGATGATGATGATGTATATGGTTAGGCGATAGTGCCAACAATGTTGAACCCATGTTGGCCGCTGCTGCTGCAGCCGCCGCAGCCGATGTTGTGGTCACCACTGCCGCCGCCGCCGATGACTGTGCGCTTAGATTAGCTAAACTTTCGAGCTTTGTATGGAAAGGCACCCGATTTTCGGTTTTGATTATCTCGGGAAAGGCTACAAATCGGTAGACAAACTTTTGGCCCAATACTTTCTTAATGATATTTTTGTCGTAATAATACCGAAGAGCTCGACTAAGTTTATCGTAATTCATATTATGTTTATTTTTTCGTAGACCCCATAGTCGGGCCACTTCTTCGGCATTGACCAGTTTGAACTCGCCATCCGTGTTGGTCCACGTTATGATGTTTTTGTACTAAAAAAATAAATAAACAAACAAAACAATTATTATAAACATATGTCAGTTGAAACTATTTTTTTCATATATTTAAAAAAATTGAATTGAATATCATTGTAAAAAAATGTTGTTTTTTTCCTCACAATAATATCAATAGATTTTTTTCGTTTGTTTGTTTGTTTGGTAACAAACAAACAAAATAATGGGAATAATAGTTATAATGATAATAATAATAATATTCAAATTACCTGATTATTTAACAATAGCTCCAACAAGAATTGCCATAATGTTATATTAGTCTCCATTCCTGTATCATTTGAAACACATAAATATAAATTAAATATATATATTAATGTAAAAATATGGTACAAGTATTTTCAATTTTTTTCAGTGCAATTATAGGAGTGTATATATATATCATCAATAATTGTCGACAGAGAGAGAGAGAGAGAGAGAGAGAGAGAGAGAGAGAGAGAGAGAGAGAGAGAGAGAGAGAAGATAGGATATCATAACAATATGATAATAAAAATTGAGAGCTTTTATTGTAAGTAAAACGGAAACGTATAGATACAGTAATATTTAATTTTTTTTGCTGAGATATCAATAGACAGACTAACAACTAATAGATAGAAATATATGTTCATTAAATAGAAGAGCATTATATATATATATTAATATATAAATTACTGTATATATATATATATATATATATATATTGCCAATGAAATAACACACATTTATCATCAAAAAAAATATATGTATCTATTAGTTGTAAATACCATATATCTATTTATAATAAAAGTTATACTAAGTTTATATGTACTGTACTATTACATGTATATAACTTTTAGGTTTAAATAATAATAATAAATTTCCAGTGATTTTTTTTAAACAGTTAAAACTTTAATAAGTTAAACATTTGTTGAATAATTTTTTTATGTATTTTTGTTGCTATTAAAAGATTTTTTTAAATTTTAAAATAAACACAAAAAAAAATAAAATGTTTAATAAAATTCAGTGTCAATGATGATGGAAACAAAATTGACTGACAATTATAAAAAAATTGTTGAAAAAAATAAATAAAACAAACCAACAACAACAACAAAAATAGTTAGTAATAATTATATAATAGTAGTTAAATTACTGGATTTTTTTAAATATATAAAAAAATGTAATAAAACTATAAAAACGTCACCAAAAAAACATGTATATGTCGTATAATTAATTAATAGATAAAAAAAACGTTTTGAATACACAATAAATATATTACAGTAATATATATATATATATAACTAAAATATCTTATCAAACAAAAATCGTCACTTCAAATGTAAAGTTTTTATATTATATTTTATTTTCTCAATGTTTTACACACACACACACAGCAAACAAACAAAAATAAGGGACAAATTCATTGTAATAATAATTTATTATTATTAGTATTATTAATAACACTAACTATTAATAATAACCACAATATTAATAATGCCAATATTAATAATATCATATGCTAGCAGCAGCAAAAATTTTTTTAATCATAATTGTATATATATAAAATCTAAATGTTTAAATGGGGAGTACCATTAAAAAAAATGGGAGTACCAGTGCTCCAGTAAGTGAGTGAGTGAGTGAGTGAGTGAGTGAGTGAGAGAGAGAGAGAGAGAGAGAGAGAGAGAGAGAGAGAGAGAGAGAGAGAGAGAGAGAGAGAGAGAGAGAGAGAGAGAGAGAGAGACTATCTATCAAAATAAATAAATTAAAGTGAACGGGATGTTAATCCTTAACATAATTTGCCTAAATATAAGGCATATATATATTTTCAAATATAGTAATATATTGGACACTACCACTCAAAACAGGAACAAATCGCTAAAATAGTGTATCAATTATAAGAGGAAATCCGTTTTGAGCTAACACTACATAATATATTTAATATAATTTTTATTTTATTTTATTTATTTATTTTTTTAAATATAATAATAAATTGTGTGGCATTAAATTACTTTATTTATTATATTTAATATGCTATATACTGTATATGAAGTTAAAGCAAATTAACTATAGTATTATATATACAGTAATAATTATTTTATATTAGTATAAATTACTGTATTATTAGTAGTTTAATATTACAAACAAAAATTTTTTTTCTCTCTCTCTACTGCCAAATGAATATATTGTATTCAAAAAAAATACTGTATTTATATTACTGTCAAACCATTGGGTTATTTCATACAAATTATAATCAAAATAAATATATATATAGGAATTTATTTGGCATACATCACATAAAAACACATATTGTATTTGAAATAGTATTATAATATTACTACTAATTTAGTCATAAATACAATTTTTTTTAAAGAGAGAGAGAGAATATATGTATATTAAATAAACAGTTGGCATAGATTTTCACAGTAAAAAAAATTATGAATAATAATAAATAAACTAAATATGATATTTAAATATACGTAAAAATATGAATAATAATAATAATTTGGTGAATAATAAAACATGTATTTAATACACACACACACACACACATAGAAAATATTTCCAAATAAAATAAACAAACATTTATTATTATTTATTTTTTCTTCATATATGTATATATATATATATAACACAATGTTTGTTAGTTAGTTAGTTAATAATGTTTACAATTATTTTTTTATATAAAAAAACAAGACATACATAAACATAAAAATATATTTATTTATCATATATGATATATGAAAGCCAACCACAAAATCATATGCAACATATCATTATCATTATTATAATATTTTAATCAACAACAACAGCAACAAAACATAGTTGAATACAAGTATTTAGTATTTGATTAAAAAAAAACTTTGATTTAAAAGGAAATTTTTGTAAGATTTTGTTGAGTCAAATATCTCATACAATACATACACATAATATAAATGAGACGCGATTTAAATGGCAAATAAAGTAATTAAATCTTATATTATATATATATATATATGAGTAATGATAATGTTTGGGGATATGGATATAATATCATACACACTATAATATCTCATATTAGTATCTGTGCCCTTATATACCGGTATATATATACAGTATATACATGTATATTGAACAGGGATGTAATTTTTTTTTATTTTAAATGGTGTGTGACCTACTTGCCGGTAGCAGACTATCAATGTATCCGATACTTGAAGTAATCGACTGGTGATGATCTCCTCCATGTAGTTGATGTTGTTGTTGTTGTCGATATAAAGGATAAAATGCCATATTTTGTTGTTGTTGTAGTTGTTGTATATGACATCAAACAGGAGATACCTGATAGTAGTTGCGGTTGTTTATGATTTTGTAATGAAATTTTTTGATTTTTTTTGGGGTTATCTCACAAACAGTGGTTTTTTATATATACAGTATATTCATATATATATATATTATAACAAACTTTTTTAGTTAGTTAGTTAGTGATCAACGAAACGAAATAATTTTTAACGAAAAAAAAATTAAATTCAGTGGCAAATCGTGAAACAACATTAATAATAGCAAACAATATCATCAAAAAAAAAATAATTTATATTTAAGAGGATATTGTGTGTTGAGTAGATTTTTGCCTTTAAAAAATGTTATCAAAAAAATTGCTGCATTTTTTTAATATGATATTTAATTATATTTAAATACATGAACACACATAAACTAATTTGCATTTAATATTAATAAAAGCAAAAAATATTTCACTCAGTTCAACACATTATACATTATATATATATATATAAGTTTCCTAAATTGATATCAAAAATGCTGATGTTTTTGTTGTAGCATTTTTTTTATATATAAAAAATAACCTTTTAATAAAGTTTTTTAACTAAATGAGTAAAACCACACATCAATTAAATGGGGAAATATTTTTCTATCGTTTGATATGTTAAAAGTTGTTGTAATATTTTTTTACAAACAATTTCTATCAAAAAAATACTGTATATATATATTACATATAAAAAATATTTTCCTTTTAAGTATGTAATGTAATGTTAAAGATGATGTATAATATATAAAAAAAGATATCGATTTATAGTCAGTAATTTGCTAACACATTGAATGATGGATTTTTTATATTATTATCATATAAATTATATATATATATATATATATATATTATTTAACAACAACAACAAAATTTTATCACAAAACGTATAAAACAATTTATATTTGAAAAATTCATAAAAATTAACACTTTTTACAACAACAACAACACAAAAATATTAAACCTTTTAATAGCAATAAACTTTTTTAATAGTTATAATAAAAAAAAAACTTTTTTAGATATATATATATATATATATAAAACACTATCACATAAATAAAATCGTATAGAAATTTTTGCCAATAAATATATCCATAACACCGACAACTACAGTATAACCAACCAAAACAACAATAACATAATATCTGGAGAAATATTATCAAACAAAATATGTGTGTCTTTAAAGAGTGAATCTTCAAATACGAAATGAGTTCAAAAAATCAATTGACAATACAATATATACGACAACACATATACACAAAACAATTGATAGTTAAAAACTTTTTTTCAGGTATGTGTGTGACCAGCATTTGGGGGTCAATCACAGTATTAAATATTAATATATATAAGCGAAAAGTGACAAAAGTGTTGTGTATGTGTGTACAGTATGTATGCCATACTATCCCCCAATCATCTATATTAGACATTGAAAAGAGGAGACACTAAACTACTAATGAGTTAAAAATGATAGGTATGTACTGTATGTATGTGTAAACTACATGTGTGTATGTGTGCTCTCACACAAAAATTTACGGCACAGATCACAATTAGGTCTCTCTCTCTCTCTCTCTCTCTCTCTCTCTAAGACATGATTTCTAATCTTAATCACTAAATGCATTGTCGACAACAATAACAACAACAACGAGAGGAGAGCAACGACGACGACGACAAAAAAAAGACAATTAATTTGTTTCAACAAAAAAAACAAAACAACAAACGGTATTGTATGGTATGGTTATGTGTGTTATGTGTTGTGTCGGTCATCACTCTTATTTTGAAGGTCTTTGATCGGAAAAGTGTACGGATCGGAGGAATCGGAGGGGAACGCCACACCAACACCACTACCCCACTATTACCCACCATCACCAACAACAACACTACTACTACTAGTAGTACCATATCTATCAATTAATCAAATAACTATCAAATAACTATCATATTATATAAGGGTTTCGCTTAAATGCCTTTCTATAACTTTGTCCCAAAACACACTGACAGATAGATAGACATACATACATACA